TGGCTTCTTTTGACATTTTTTTATGAAAATCAAGTAGTCCGATGGTTCTAACATCAGACCGCTTGCTCTACCATGAGATCTTGTGATTTTTGTTGGCTTGTGTTATCTCCTTTATAATGTAATGTAAAATACAAGGGTCATACCCTTGTATTTTGTTGATTTTGCTAAGTCATTTTACTCTATTAAGGGCAATACCCTTAGTGAGACCATAAGTCCCCATATTTTTTCGGATTTCTTTCAACCACATCTTTTTGGGCATACCCCTTGCCCTTTTCGAGCTTTCCACTTGAACTAACTCCTATTGGTGCCATACCTAAACTTTTTCGAATGGATTCACATTTCAAATTGTATCTTTTTTTATCTTAAAATTACCTAAACCACCTTAAAAGCTGTCAAAATCATCTCAAAAAACTAATATGGTGGTGGTTTAAAAAAAAAAATTACATTCTTTTTCTATTTTTATAGTTTCTTCCCTCATTAATAAGGGTGGAGCGATATGCCCTCGAACTCGTCCCCAATGTTTCAAAAAATGCTAAGTAGCCTAGTTGGTGCCCTACGCCCAAGTGCCAGCCATGCACCAAGAACCTTAGGTGCCTTGAGGTGAAAAATTGCATACATGTGTTCTTCAAAAACACATCTATGCAGATATTGGTGTTGATGTTGTATTTGTTTTGTATTCATGTGTTATGTCTAACTTTTTCTATGGAAATATATATGCATGAATGTTGAAACACATTCAAAACTTCAAATCATTAAGTCAAAAACATAATCAAGTCCATGGTATATTAGCCTCCAACTATCCAATCCAAAATGAGTATGGCATACTCCATACTGGTACATGAACACGATCACAAATAGAAAAGATGAAATACAATAGAGAGGTATGAAACCAATAGCCCAAATGTCTAATACAAGAGGAAGCTTCCTCAAACCTTATATTTTTTTTTTTATTCACATAAATATCAAAATCAATCGAGGGTTTTTTTATTTTAAAAAAGCTACATCCATGGCCTCGGAGAGTAGAAATCCACTATCACAATGAAGATTACAGTTTTAGATTCCAAGATATATACTTCTATCTAAACATTGGTAAAAACCCCCCACCGCTATCCCCTTCTAAATCCGCTCTCTCGATTGAACAACACTGTCGATCAATATCTTTTTTTCCATCGCAATACCGTTACTGAAAAAATAACCTCGAATATAAATAACAATAGGGATTATCTACAAAGAGACCATTTATCTTTTGTACAATATTACGAGTATATGCATATAAGCATATATTGATAACTCAATCGGACATTAATAAAACAAACAAAGTTTATGGGCATGACAAAGAATTGATACACTCTTCACTATTTCTTTTTTAAACTATTAACATGCTCCGAATCATCACCATTGTTAAAGCTTTTTTCCAACTAATTGGGATCGGCTTCACGAATAATTAGAATACTAGACTATTTTGGGATTGCACACCAACAACTTAATGAAGTCTTATGCCAATTAGGGGGATCGTGAAGAAATGTTAATAGAAATAAACCATATAAGAAATAGGACAATAGCTACAACTTATTTCCAACATTGCAAGGGCTTCAAAAAATAAGACACACATCACATTAGCAAATATAGAGATCTGCAACTAATTAAATTCAAAGATGACGCAGAGAATGCAGATGGTATATTAGTGGTTCGGAAACCATTTTTTTCAATGGTTCTTGATAAAAAAACTTCTCAAGTCCACGAACCATACCAAGAGAGACAAAAGGAAGGCTAAAAACCCAAGAAAAAAAATAAAAGGATCAAAGTCCTCAGAAACTGGAACTGCCTTGCTTAGTGTACTTCATTTCGATCCAGAGAGCTTGGTCCTCCTTGGGCAGTAACAAGAATGCCGCACTCGCATTGACATTTGCAATGATATCATCATATGCTAGTAAGCAGACTCTTCGATCAAGGCCTTCAAACTTCAAAAGAGTATAATAGACCTCTTTGATATGGGGGTTTGAAACAGGTTTTCTGAAATTGTCGAGTGCAGTGACTATTGTGTTCAAGGGCGCAGCCAGTTTCTCAACTGCAGCCAAATTAGCATCGCATTCGATCTTTTCTTCATGTTCGGCTTCATGCTTTTTACCAGGCATGGTAAAAGATTGATCACTGGATAAGGACCTAGAAAAGTACCAATAGTAGCAACTTTCAATTCCACCTTTGTAACGAGAGTGCATATATTTCAGTGAGTTCCAATGGAAAGGCAAAACACTCATGACAACACGTAGGAATGGGGTTGAGGTCAAAGTGGTAGCACTACCTGTGACTCGGCTACTGGTCTCGGTTCCATTCCGACCAATACTAACCCTTTTCAAGAACTATTTTCAAGAACTATTAACGGTTTCAAAATTTACTAACCCACTACTAACAGTTAACGTTCAAATTAAAATAAAAATAAATAAAAAAATAAAAAAATAAAAAAATAAAAAAATAAAAAAAACACTCATGTAAAAATTCTCATGTAGTCACAGAGAACACATGTTGTTTTTTCCCCATGTCACCAAGGGAAGTTCATCATTAGGTAAAAGTCCCCAGAAAAAACCAGCGTTGAAAGAGAGTGCCTATCATTGGGAGCAACATCTAGCTCCCAGAAGACATTTTTGTTATATATGAAAGAGAGAACTTTAATTTTTAATTTCTGATTTCCCTGGTAAAGAAAGTGTTCAAGTTCAAGATATTTCGTATACAGTCTTTCATCAAGGAGAATAACAATGAATGACCTGAGTAATCATACAGCAAGAAATCAACCAAGTAAAAATTGGAGTATAGAGTTCATTAGACTTGTTCCGAGCAGTCACACGAACATTGAGCCCACCAATTTCACAACTAGGCATCACCCATTACTTGGGTGTTTTCTGAAATCCAGATGAAATTTCCAATTTTTTTTTCGGAAACTATGAAAATAATAACCCAATTCACTGGTAGAGGATTCTTTTTCTCAAATAACAGGTTTCGAGTTTTAAAATAAATCAGCACTGAAAAAGTTTTAATAGCATTGTCACAGAAAACACTGTTTTAACTTTCTTAATTAGTAAAACAATTCACAAATCTAAAAGGGCTTACAAGGCTAATATATTCACTATAATAACCCAGAAGGCAAACTTACCAAAGCATAACTCATCTGGCTATCTTAATATCTAGACAGAAAATGGTTACAGTCAATGTCTTTAAACTTGGCTCGAGCTGGACTTGGCCCCGGGGCCAAGCCGAATACCTCTGCCGAGTCCGAGTGCGCCCAGCCGAGTGAGCGTAAGACACCAAAAAATGTTAAAGACATAAAATTTTTAAGTGTTAAAAATAATTAAGAACCAGGAAAACAAAAAAAAAAAGGAGTAATAGAGTTCATTAGAAGTCCAAAAGTACATAAAAGATGATAATTGAAACTTTGATTTATACCTATAAATATTCAAAAGTACAAATTGGAGTATATTAATAGAAAACTTCCCAAATCATCCTAAAGACTATGTAAATAATCTAAAAGAATATTTTAAAATCATTTAATTAAGATTTTTAACAAAAACATGTATTTTTAACCAGTTTAAACATGGGTCAAGCCGAGTCCTGAAACACTGGTTCCCATTAAGTAAAACCAGGAGAAGAATCCAAATAGAGAAGAAACCAAGGGCGCACTCTCTATGGATTTACACCATTTACACCCTCTCATCCCTGCCCCTACTTTGTAAGCACTCTCTATGGATTTGCCCCCCTTTGCTCTCTTTCTCTCTCTCTCTCTCTCTCTCTCCATAAATCCATATACGTCGCCATGGAACCTCCCCCACGAACATCAACCACAACTGGCGAGAAGATACAACATCAAAACATATGAAGCGCGGCTTCTTCCCTCACCCCATCATGATGAAGTGCTCAAGGTGAGGAGTTGCAGAGGATGTTGGAGGTGCTCAAGGTAACCAAGTGGAATTCGTTTCTTTGATTCATTTTCTGAACAGTTTTGAAGTTTATTAAGTTTTTGTGAAGCTTGGTGAACAGGGGAAGAGAGAGAGAGAGAGAGAGAGCAAACTCATCTCAAAGCCAAAAACCCATTTCAAAATTTGCATAATATCCAAAGGTTCACACGAAAACAGGCATGGAATAACCCATATCAAAACATTCGAGAGAGAGATGGGGACCAAAAGCCATCTCAAGAGACTGACAAACAAAGAGACCAAGACCCATGTTATAAGAGAGAGAACCAAAAGCAACCTCAGCTTGTCGGTAGAGAGAGAGAGAGAGAGAGAGGGATGGATGAATGTACCTGGTATTGTGGTAGCAGAGCGAGAGAGCAGGGTTTCTTAATGGCGCCAGCGAGAGAGAGAGAGACAGTAGGGTTTCGCTTGATTCACAACTATGGTTGAAATATGGTTTTGGCGGTATGATGAGGTAACGTTTTTCCATTTCCTGCCTGTTCATTGCATACCCAAACGTCGAAGATTGAGCATTTCCTGGAAATCTATTCCAACGCTGTAGATCTTCAAGTTCCTATGGCTTTAGGAAATGGCCACATGATCATCAATATCATAAGTCTTTTTCCAACTTAATTGGCTTCAGCTAATAATGCTATTTAATTTTTATATAAATCTTTATTTGTCATGTTCTATTACCTTTTTGTATTTTTTGAAGTACTCATTTAAGTTTATTTTTTCTCATTTTATCACACTTCGTGGACTGTGATCTCAAAATTTGGGATGGGACCATAGTTATTAAGACTAAACCTAAGTTCGATAGGTCCAACCGCTCACTAGTTCTTTAGCGATTTTGGTCTAGAGTACAAAATAGGGTTTGGTAAAAAAATAATAAGCCAGTTTGATCCAGAGTAACAAATAGGGTTTGATCCAGAGTAATAAATAGGGTTTGATAAAAATATAGCCGGCTAGTTTAGTCTAGAGTAAAAATAAAGTTCTTTAAACAAATGGGTCAAAACTAATCTTTAGACGGGTCTAATTTTGACCGTTTAACTATCTAAACAAAATTGACAACTCTTTTTTTTGTATATTATGTATTTTTAAATTGATATTTATATTTTTTAATAATTTTTCAAACTCAAATCAACCTGATCTGATTGACAGTTGGACTTGTTTTGATTGAATCAAACACATTTTTAGTTGAATAGCTGGCTCGAGCATCCACTGGATTAGACAATACCTTGATGTGGACATTGAATTGCTAGATCAATTAAATTTGGTGCTATTTTGGAATTCCAAATCAACTTTTTTGGTAGGAAATATATTTGCTCCAGTTTAGTTTAGTGAGCTTTTGGCTTCTCAATCCATCAAAAATATGGATTTGCTGCACGGCTTCGAAGTGTTGCGTGCGGTTACGGGCAGTGTGCCCATACTTAGCAAGTTGGCTGGAGTTTTTCCAAAACTTTTTCTTGATAAAAATATTAAATATGCTTTTGTTATTTTTGAAAAAAAAAAAAAATCTTCACTATTTTATTGTCCTTCAAATTCATTTTTTTTTTAAACGTCTTTTGCCTGCATGAAATATTTGGAATTTCGTAACGAGATGAGCTTAATGTAATACACTTACCGTTAAAAAATAAGAAAAAGAGATGAGCTTACTAAAAAAATGAGATTAAATCAAGACGCCTGATTTAAGCAAAATTTTCATATTTCTACACAAAGCCATACTTAAATAATATACACACACAATGAGATTATTTACTTTTGATACAAAAATTTCATAATTATTAATGACTCGTTAGATGTGAAACGATGTGTCATTCATTGAGCACAAAGTCTAAAATAAAATTTCTTGAATGTTGTGACGTAGTTCAATCTATTGGATTTAATATGGAATGACTAAAAATGCTTACGACCTTCTTATAACAATAATAAATGATCTCATAGTACACAATTTAAAAAATATATATACATAGGTAAATAAATAGACGCATAATCAAAATATTATTTTTCTCCAAATTTATTGAACATTCAAGTAGTTGGCAAATGGGATGAGATTCGAGTCTTCAAGTTTGATACACAAAATGCTACGTACAAGTAAATTTCTGTTGTTTTTTATTTAGGGAAAGGTTTTTATATTTCCCCTACAGCATAGAAGATATATGCTTCCCCTAACATCTAGCTGTCTAATTTTGATCAAGAGAGCCACTCACTGTTTAATCTTAAATTCGGCGTCTTAAAGTATTTTATTTTTAGTTTTTTTTATATAAATTGTATGAATATGAAATTTGGTACGTGCCAACTTCTCATTGGGGAGCACCTATAAAAAATATTTAAAATATTTTTTTGATAAAATATAATGATCAAAATACCCTTAAAACTTTCAGGGGTATTTTGGTCATTTATTTTATTGAAAATATTTTTTTTATATATTTTTCGCTAGTGCGAGTTTAATAGAGGATTGGATGTTCAAAATTTGGTGTCAAAATAGTTTATAAAAAAAAATTAAAAATAAAATAGTGTAGTGACGTGACTTTGTGATTGAGACAATCTTAGCCCTCCAATCAAAATGGATGGTTGAATAAAGGGAAGTATATAAGTTTTATGTTGTAGGAGAAGCATAGAAAGCTTGCCCTTCTATCTATACACACGAAGTTGATGTACAAAGTGCAATAACATTAATGAGCAATTGTTTCATATTTTTGGTTTTATGGGATTTTATTTAAATACAAACCTATATTGTATTTTTTGGGGCTATCTATGTTACTTTAGCCAAATCAAAACTATTAATGATATTTTTATGTGAATGTATAATATGTGATCATTTATTTTTGTTATGAGGAAGTCACAATTATTCTTGACTAGTAGATATCAAATTGGATGGCTTGTGATGTGTCCAAAAATTTGAGAATTTCTTTTTTGAACTTTAAGTAAAGTCAATGACATACTCTCATAACCAACTGATTAGAAATCAAATGGACAAAAGTAATTGTGACATCCTTGTATCAAAAGTGAATGATTTCTTTATATGGCTTTCCTATTTTTGTTTACCTATTTTTTAGTAACCTAAAGATCATTAATATGTAAAAACAAATATTTTTTTAACAAATTTGGGGCTTTTTCCATTTTAGAAAAAAACATCATCATCATCATTAAAGTTTTTTTTTTAATTATTTAGGGTCGGTTACATGAATCGTGGTTTAACATTCTACTCTATCAAATACCATATACTCGGTGAAGCCATAACTGCCCATATCTTTTCTCACTACTTCCAACCATATTCTTTTTAGTCTACCCCTTGTCCTTTTTGAACTTATCTAGACACGAAAAAGAAATGATAATTTGTTTTAAGGAAACTTGTTCCATGAGTCAATAGGTACAAGAGCCCGCTAACTTTTCAACATCCGTCTTTAAGATGGACGTTGTGTAAACTCACGGGGTCAAAACAAATATGGATGGTGTCAAATACATTAAAAGAAAAAGCACACTTTAAAGTTCAATTTTTTTTATTTTTTTATTTTTATGATCGGCTTGGCTTCGATGATGAATCTTATTTTAGATCAAAAATCCATTTTTAAGATGAATTTTAGAGGGGGCCCTCATGTGTACATATGAGTCGATTGACTCATAGAAACCCAATCCTTATTTTAAACTTTATTTTTCTTTGTACTTCTCTTTTTTTTTTTTTTTTCTTATTTTTAGCAGATTGTCAAATGTTCACTATTTTTTTAAGGTACAAAATCATGAATGCTAAAATGCATAGAAGTGTGATGTTGTCTTAGACTCGAAATCTATCTCTAAAAAAATAGATTTTCAGAAGGGTGCTGCAAATAAGACCATACAAAAATTGTTCCCTTCATTTTTGAAAAAAAATCTATTAGTTTAAATTTATTGATATTATTCCATCATTGACATAGGAAACGGCTTACCACGAGTTAGGCCGTTATCTAAGGGTCCTAATAACTAATGACTGTATCTTAAGGAAATGCATACAACGAAACTATGTATTTTAAATACAAGGAGGCTAAAATTATTATTGACCATTAGATGTGAAATTACATGATTGGGGACGTGTCGTTGATTGGGCACAAAGTCCAAAATAAATATTTCGAATGTTGTGACACATCACACTACCATTTATTGGATTTCACATCTAATGGTTAAAATTGATTGTGACCTTCTTATTTTGAAAATAAAAAGTCTCATACCATACAATCTCATGTCTTAATACATTCATTGTTTTCTGCAAACCTTCAACACAATTAAGGTTTCGGAGGTTAAATGTGAGTTCGAACTTTGAATTAGGAGGGGTTTATTGTAAATCGGATTTTAGGTCATCGTTTGCCTTAGTGATGGAGCTTCTTAGGGTTTCAAAGAGATCTTCCTTGGGAGAAGCCTAAATCAAGGAGGGAGCCCATGGATCTCAACCATAGATTAGAAGAACGGTTGACGCCCTAGAATTTAAGGGGAATTTATCAAGCAATCTCTTATTTTTCAACTACTTAACATTTTAATATTTTTCTACTTTTCCAAATCAAAATCATGAAGAGCATTTGAAATTAAATTGGAATGCATGGGTAAAATGCTAAATAGTGAATATCTTAGGAGTAAGTTAACAAATTTCCAATAATTTAATTTTGTTGGTGATAATCTCATTATAAGCTCTCTGATCTCATTGCGAGAAATTTCTCAAATTATTCATGATAGATGAACAATTTTACAATTTCTCAAATCTTTTGATTTAATTTCAAAATACCTGTAAAATTGAAATCTTGAGCTGGAATAGTTGTTAATTGGCAAAATGTTTAAAGGAGAACCATCTCATACGAGTATTTTGATGCATTTCCCCCGTTTCCCATGACACTGCTGACTCGCCAATTCGACTGAGTTGGTCTGAACCGATGGGTCCCTGGTTCGACTTTTGAACCAAGCAAGCTTGATCTCGACCACCCACCACACAAGCGCTACCTTTTCTCTTGCAATGACTGCTCATGATCATTCTTGCCCACAAATCGATGGTCCAGGTAAGCTTCTCTTCTAGTTTTCTGGTTACAAGGCCTACTTAGATCATTTCCCATTCTTGAACTTGTTAATGCACGAAAGATACTATTCATCTGCTGCATGCATCATAACATTAGTATGCTAATGCCTTTTTTTTTTCACGTGTCCAAGAGCCTTCGACCCAAGACTGGCAATAGCCTAGTAGACCTGGACCTGTATGGACCGGCCCGTTTGGCCCAAGGGCTGGCCACAAAATGTGGTCGGGCCCCATTACCTGAGGATAGGGCCGAGCCGGGGCTGGATCTTGTGTGCAAAATGGCTGGCCCGGCTCAACTCGTTTTTTGTTTTTACTTTTAATCTACTTGGCCCGGCCTGCCTTGGTCCTGAGAGCATGCGCTAGTGCCACTTTGGCTCCATTAGGGCCGTCCGGTAGGGACATGGACCGGCTTAGGACCAGCAGTGGCGGTGGCCGGGTCCAATGCCACCGGAGCAACTGATCCCGATTTGTGAACGGTCAAGATCAGATCCTTTGATTCAAGAGTGTGGGGTCCGTCCGATATGGATAGCAGTCTCCCCATTCGAGAGAGAGAGAGAGCGCCATTTTAGAGAGAGAGTGTGTTGAGAGAGAAAAGAACCTAGCAAAAATCAATGGGGGTGATATGGATAGTCTGGTTTAGATAGACTGGAAGAGAATTTTCTCAGAGAGGGCATGTAGAGAGAGAAAAATGATAGAGTGATTCTATGTCTGGTTTAGAGAAAGAGAGAGGGATTTTTTAGAGAGTAAAGGAGAGAGAGTATGCAGAGAGAGAGCTTAATAACATTAGATAGCTGTGACATGGAGAGCGCAAGCTTTTTAGCCTGCTCGAGAGAGAGACTGAGATATGCTTCTTAGAGAGAGAGAGAGCTTTGTAGAGAGAGAAAAGGAGAGCGTGTGAGAAAGAGTGGTGTAGAGAGAGAAACTGTCTCAGAAACAATCAATGGCAGCTGCTGCTCTACCTTCTATTCCTGCGCCCAAAACCAAAATTTTGCATCACAACAGAATAAAGAATTTGGGTTTATTGTTCCCTGTAAATATGTCAAACTCCTGTAATTCGAACAAGAGGAGGAGCATTTCTTGTTGTTGTCCAGCCATGGCGGCCAAATCATCGAATGCAGCAGTTGCAGAAGAAGAAGACAGAGAAAAATATGAAGAGGCGATGAGCACAGATGCTTTGCATCGATTTATAAATCTAAATCTTGGTGACTGGAATGGTTCCTTCTATGTAAGTGATTACTCATCATTTTCCGTAATTCTCTCTCTAAAATGTGTTCATAGTCTAGAATTCAGTTCTTATTTCTCCCTGAATTGGCAATGGTTCAAATTATTTGTAGGAAAAACCTTTCTTCTCTTGCTTTTGTTGTATGGTTTGGTTTAAGGTAGCATTCAGTACTGTGTATTTACTTTGATTTAAAGGTGGGAAATCTTCCCCTTTTAAATTAGTTAACAAACAAAGTTAGTATAAAGTTTGCTGCAGTTTCTCTCTTATCTTTCCCCTCTGAGATTTGAATAGTTAATTATTTTTTGTGTATTTTCTTTCTTATCTTTCCCTCAAATTAAATAATTCGAAGTTAGTATAAACTCTCTTGCTGTATTTTCTGTCTCTTATCTTCTCTTAAAGTTCAATTCGTTAACTTTATTCCATTGTTAAAAAAATCGACTTGGTCATGGTACTAGGGACCTCGCCGAGGTGAGTCTCGCCTGAGTCAGAGCTAATTTTTTTTTTAAAGAAATGAAAAAAAAGTAATCGCTTATATATAATATAAGTGACTCTTTTATCAACAAAGTAAGAAATGACATGCTGGTAAGTGTCCCTTATTGGGCCTCTTATAAAGGTTTTAAAGTTTTGAGCTAGATTCTCGATAGGTTTTTTTTTAATAAACATTGAACACCAACAAAATGATGTGTTAACAAAAGTGATAGGCAGGATTCAAACTTTGGGGTGGGATAAATCCCTCATTGGGGTAAGAGTTCATTCCATTCTAACTTATCTAATATGAAACCATTCTAACTTATCTAATTTGAATATGCGGTAAGATTATAATTAAAGTTTAAAAACATTGTGTACAACTAACCGCCTCGCCATTCTAACTTATCTAATATGAATATGCAGTAAGATTATACTTAAAGTTTAAAAACATTGCGCACAACCAACTCGCCCAAAACTCGCCGCACCCATGGGCCGAGGCCAAGTTACTTGGCCGAGTCCGAGTTGCCTTGGCCGAGTTTTAAAACGCTAATTTAAACATATATAAACCCATGAGAATCGAACTGCTATAAAAAAAAAGAAAAGGAAAATAACATTTACCTAGAGAGTTTACTCTAATTTTGAATCAACTAATGTAAGAAAGTAAGATAGAGAGATTAAATAGAATAAAGCAGCGTTCTAAAACTTGGCAAGGCAACTCTACCTCGGCCCATGGGCGAGGCGAGTTTTGGACGAGTTAGTTGTACACAATATTTTTAAACTTTTAAGTATAATCTTCTTAGATATCATACAAGTTAGAATGGTTTACTGGTTAGTTTTAACGAGTAAACTTGACCTCAATCAACGACAAAATCAGGGGTTCGAATCCCACTCGCCGCCTGTTTTTTTAACACATTATTTCGTTGGTGTTCAACATTTATTAAAAAAAAAAAAAGCCACCTGTCGAGAATCGAGCTCAAAACCTCTTATAAAGAGGTCCTTTTATATAAGGCGCATCAACCAGCACAACGTTTCTTACTTTGTCGATAAAAGAGGCACTTATACTATATATAAATATTACTTCTCTTCATTTTCTTTAAAAAAAAATGAGCTGGACTTGGGCGAGTTACTCGGACTCGCCTAAGTAAATCGCGTCGGCCAGGTTCCGAGTACCTTGGCTGAGTCGGTTTTTTTAACATTGGTTTAAATTGTTACCTTTTTTTACAGCAATTTGATGCTCATGGAAATATGATGCAAAATGTGACTACAAAGTTGGCTGTTAGTTCTTATGGTGAAGATGAACTTATAAGCCTCATTCAGACGTACGTACTAAGAAGTTCTCTTCTCTTCTTTTAGTTGTGGTTAAGCATTGTGAATTTCGCTTCTCTTCTTTAATTTTTGTTTATAATATGGTGAATTACTCTTCTTTTCTTTAATTTTTGGTTAATCATTGTGAATTTCTCTCTCAAGTATTCTGTATTTCTAATTTTCTATTATCTTCCATAATTTGCGATTTAGTATTGAGATTTTCTCTTCTTTTCTTTAACTTATAATTAAGTATTGTGAACTTGTGTTCTCTTTCTCAATTTGCGGTTTAGCATTGTGAATTTCTTTCTCTTTAATCTGTGGTCCTTTGTCACTTGTTTAGTATGTTGATTGCTCATTAGAAAAGCTGGCTCCAGTGTTCGATTCCTTCACTTCTTCATTCAATTTGCATTATTAGCAAACCATTTCAACAAATTCGTTTTCCAATGGTTCTATGACTAGTTGTATAGTTCATGGTTTCCATTTGTTCATCATTGTATTAACAGTCCAGTGTTATCATTATTGTTCTTTTCTGATCATTAACATTGTTAAATTCTCCAAAAAAAAAAAAAAAAAACAGTTTACTAATTCTTACCAAATACTGACCAAATTTGCAGGTCCTTAATCTATTCATCTGTTTTCATTTTGTGGTGTAGTTGTTGATCATGTTTAGGATGTTTCAGCTTATGCTAGTTCTATGGCAAATGTATGTCACTTTAATAATAGTGGAGAATGAAGAAAGGTAACATTCAAATTTCGCATAATGTAAATAACTGGTGTCGTATAGCATGCGCCTACTCGCCTAGCCTCGGTATATATATATATGGGGAATGATTTCATGCAACAGTTGTATAGTAGTATAATGCAACTGAGACGGCACGAGAGTGCCTCACACTAATATATATAATGCTTTTAGATGTACAGTAGTATATATATATGGGGAATGATTTCATGCAACGGTTGTATAGTAGTATAATGCAACCATCTTCAAAAACCATGTTACAGACATTTGTTTGACACGAATTTTTAAATGTACACTCTTTTCATTCTGAAGAACAATCATAAAAAAGAAAATTTTGAAAAAATGCTTTAGAAAATTTTCATTCTTTAATATAAGCCGTCCATGTTATTTAGATGGTAAGATATAGGCCTTAGAAGGATTTTTTTTTATTTTTAAAATTTTTATATAGCGTTATCATCATTAGATTAATAATGCTAAAAAAGAAAAAAGTGATTTTGAATTTGTTAAGGCCTAGATCTTGAATTCACCAAATGGATGGTTGAGATTCATTGTTGGATGGGTACTAATTTTGACCATATCTAGGGTGCAAATTGAATTTTCTTTTCTGTAGGATTGATTATGAAGATGAAGAGAATGTGGGCGCCAAATTTGGGGTCATACAAATGCCAAAAATATGGTTTTCTAGAGGTGTGGTTGCATTATACTACTATACAACCGTTGCATTTGATCATTTCCCTATATATATATATATATATATATATATATAGTAG